AATATATATATATATATATATATATATATATATATAGAATATTTAAGACTTAAGAAAAACCCCATAACAACTATGAATAAACAGCAAAAAAATTATAAGAAAGATATGGACAAAACGAAAGTGATGAAACAGTTATAAGCAATTAGCTCATCAAATGAATAATGCGATAAGGCTCTCTATCTAGGATGCGATGTTGACCAATCGATGCAAAAATCCAATCCGCTTTTAGTACTTCCTTTTTCATATCCAGTTCAAATCTGCAGATAATACCATACAGAATGACAACTCCTTTCCAAGCCTTTTTTTCATTCTTATGAGAAATTTGTTTGTAAATTTAAATACTCAGATTTGGACCAAACTGGTTTTTATTGCAAATGTATAGCAATATTATATATCTGTAGACAAAAATTATACCGAATATATCATTTGCACATCGAACACAGACGGAGATGTTTACCGAATATACCAAATTTATACAGTTTCTAGTTAGTTTACTTCATAATCAGTTTACTCTGTTAGTTTATTTATAGGCCTTGAGCTGTAGTCATATGTCAAAACCTCAATAAGTATAGGATGCCTTGACGCAAATCAAAACCGGTCCATGTTTTTTCTCTGTTGGTAGTATTGCAATGAGAAACAAATGATACTTGATTTTCACTGATCGCTTTGAGACTATTTTTCTAAAACGGTCAATAACAAACCTTCGAGCAGCATCTTGATTAAAACAGTCTGGGGCAAATATGATGTAACTGCGTTCGGAGGGAAGCTCCCAAACATGTGACACAGTTTTCCCACCGCTCAACTCTACGATCTCCAAAAAAACATCTGAAAATAAGAAGTAAAAAATTGTTTTCGTAAAATATAAAGTTTCGAAAGAGTTTATTCCCTTTAACTGTAAAAAACAATCCTAGTCGGCAATATTTCTACTTGAATATATCAAATCCATTAAGTAGTCCCTCTTCAGTTAAGTATCACAGCAATCATTTCAAACAAATTGAAAATTCTTTCTGGTGCCAAGAAGCACATATTATAGGTTCATGACCTCAAATTGCTTAAATCTCAAAAAAGAAATAATTAAAACTGTTTAGAGAAATAACGATAATAAAAATCATATATATCAATAATATTCCGAGTGTTTATTTCAAGAATCATTCAAATGGCATACCTCTTGCTATCAACTGTGTGTTAAAGAAGGTCTGAGGGACATAAAATATATATCCATCGAATAAAGTGCTCGGATCAGTAAGGGCACGTTGAGCGGTTATGTCTATCAGAGTCTCATCTATTTTCAATAAAATTTCAAAATCATGCTGAAAATGACAATCTGAAATTCGTTTACGGATTCATCACGACTTCTTTCCACATTTTACAAATTTCAGACTTCGGAATGATTATTACTCATGTAAAAAGAACAATAACTCTTTACCAACCGTAGGTAGAATGCTTTTTTGGTTGAGGCAGTTCTCTAACCACGAATACGATACAATCGTACAATGATTAACCAATGCGTAAATTAATTTCACTGTCCAAAATTCACAAATTAAACCATCTGCAAAATTCCAAAGCTCATTAGTTCATAAACTCATTGCATATTGTCACTACTCATTGCATATTGTGGTACTACTCACTGCATGTCATATAAGCAAAGTGTAACTATACTACATGAACAGACAGTTTGAATTTCAACTATTAATTTCTAAGAATATTGAATTCTCATCTACTTGTAAGATGCAAGCTTACCGGTATTGAAAATAACCAGATATGTACACTTCCGACTTATTGATGTGGAAAGTTTGAAAGATGAGAAATTATCCAAGAATCGACGCAGCAAAGACTAGAAAATAAGTATTTGAATGGCGTTGCTAATAATATAATGATGAACAATAACAATGTGTCTCTCACCTGATCACCAAGTTTCGATGCTCCAGATACCATCATTGAATGATACACTTCATTATCTTCTTTACAACATTGTTTATCCTTTAGAAATGCGACAGTACTTTGTTCAGTATTACGACCTTTACTCTGTTGCGCATCGCTATGACAGCAATCAATTGTATAAGAATTGTTTATTGGAACCGCAAGTTCCCTTTCTTCGTCGCTTTCGAGAACCAAATCATTACCAATTTTCGAAGGAACTTGAAGAAGAAAAAAGATTACATTCACGAAGCACTTACTTTCTTGAATTTGTGCTGAAATTCACTGAGATGATAAGAACTTACAGTTCTCATCACGAAATTTTTTCTCGGCCTTTGCCTCACACACTGCATCGATTAATGCTTCCCGACCCTGTAACTAAATAAATTAATCTGAGACTAAACCAACATCAACCACTGCAATTCAGACATATTCTAAATCACCAACCAGACGTAGAAAGCCAGGTATCCATGGTATACATTTGATAAGCACCTCAATTCGTGACTGATTTTTACTCCCTTCTGGAAAAATGAGTTAAAACACTTGACAAAAAAAAAAAAAAAAAACTAACAAATAATAATAACGACAGAAAAGCTAACATGTTAATACAGCTTTTGCATATCAATTCTGTACAAAAATTATTCCATATTGCTGATTTTGTCACCATTTTCTTCCAATTATTGTTGTGTAAAATTGTACAAAGTCTACATACAGTCTCACATTTAAAAAATGCCTTATACAATATCGGATTGGGAAATCATAATATCCGAAATAACTTACCAAACACAGAATTAACAGTCCCTTCTATCTGAACCAAAGCATCTGCTCCACTATTGTTCATTTGAATCTTTCCATCATGCATTGCTGAAGCATTAAAGTTCAACCCTTTCACATACAATGGCGAACACGTAGCATCTTCCACACTGGTTTGCTGACTTTTGTGCTGCATTTCCTTTTCATCTGTTTGAATCCCAACACTTGTAGCTTCCTTTATACTATTGCTGGATTCCTTAGAATTTATCTGGAGTTGTTTGAATAACGACTTAGTAGCACTGCGACTCACAATAGCATCTTCAGCGACGTAAGGATTATGCTTAACTGTTGATGTTCCTGCATAGGTATTCACGGAAATTCCTGTTACCGAGTTGGAATCATCTATTTCATCAATCCGTTGCATTTTCGCTGATTTATGTTGCGAATGATTAATACGGCGCTTCGCATTTTTTGATTCCTTTCTTAGCAACTGTAGAATAAAGTATATCTTATATGCAAAAAAATGAGAAGAGAGAAATACTGCAAAATGGTGGAGTTCAGAATACCGAAAATATTAAGCATAATTAATTACCGGTCTTTGAAATTTCAAATCAATAACCTTTCGCGACTGATTTTGAGGAAGTTGTAGCGGTGATGATATAGCTTGTGTCATCGGAATCTGTAAATGCATATTTGAAAACAACATTGGACCGTCAACTGTTTTTCAGTGAAAATTTTTTTAGATATTCCCAAACTCAACACGAAAATCTCATTACAGCCATTTTCTATTTTTCTCTTATATCCTTCCATTTTTGACAAAGAATTAATTCCCTTCCAATTATGAGTGTGAAATCAAAGTTCAATTATATTTTCAAACCAACATGAACTGATATTTTGGACTAACTACAAATTACAGTTGGTAAAACAAAGAGCGCAAACCTGACTTTCGATGAAATCATTTTCCTTCGCAAAATCAGTAGCCAAAATATCGTTTTTGAATGCCTTAGCTAGCGGCAAATACTTCTCAAGCAAAGATGAAAGCAATGGACAACTTGCACAACTTCTGTAATCGCACCTTTCAGGGTTTTTTTACAGGAATACATCATTGATAAGGTACCATAAATATTGTGGAAAAAATCAGCTGGCAAAACGGCTAAAGTCGAAAAAAGGAATAAAAAAAACCTTTTATTCAACGTCATATTGCAGATAGGACATCGCATAAGTGAAAGCCTTTTGAAGCACTCAAACAGACAAACCCTACAAACGACTAAATTTTAAGTGCTTTCAAAAGAAAAATTAATGTGAACAATTTGCTTGTCTCTTGTTCTACTTCTTCCTCATGTATTTGTATTCCAACATATTTTCATAAAGATGGCAGAGTGACGATGACTTATGCTTGGGCACTGTTTATGATTCCCGATACACACAGTGGCACTTTAACTGAGAGGAGTAATAGCCGAAAATAATGCACAATGAGTAGAAAAATGAATAACCTGCAGAATGCGTGATTGCAAGTGGTCATAATTGGATCACGTAAAGTTGAACAGCTGAAAATAAAACGAATATGAACATTTTAGAATACGAATATGAGTCATGAAATGAAAAAAGTCCTTTCGATATTTCCACATCTTTTAACACAGAATAAAAACTAACCAACAGGACGATCCAATGATGAAGTATGAAGTGAAAGTTTTAACATATGTTCAAGCATTAACTTGCATACTTGGTTTCAGTTTAGAAATAACTATCTCAAGTTACTGTCAAACCTTTAAGTAGTCGCATAACATTATCAAATTATACCAATGAACATCCCTTTCAAAACAACGGAATCGTGAAACAAATTGTTAACGTACAAAGAGAAATAAAGTAAGACAGAGAAATGGCTAATAAGTAATAAATAATAACCATATGCCACATCGTAGGATCATTTTGATACTTTCGACTTGATCCTTAATTTTTTGGAAGTCATTCTTGCATTCAGCCTGACTCTCTGGTAAAACGAACATTTTCTAAATTCTGGAACAACTTTGATTTTTTCTGAACTCTTTCAATGGATACATCAATTTTAACATAATACATGACATTTGCACCTTTCTATCTTGCTTAGAATCAAATTTTGCCTTTTAAAGAAATTGAGGATTTTCGATGTTAACTGCTTCCCTCTTTTCAGTCCAGATCAAATAGCTACCACTCACAGATCTCCGACTCAAAAGTAAACCTCTTTTAATTCATTGCAGTGCTAACTTGACAATATCCCTCAACTTCACCCTTACTTTGGTACCACGTCTGAGATCACGTAACCTATGCTACCGCCACCTTACGTACCTATATTAACACGCACAACCAAAATAAACAAAAATGTATAACCTAAATATCCCTCACTCACAGCAAAATAAATTAGACCGTCTGAAGTCCCGCCTTACCTCCATGCCGTCTTTTACCAATTTCAAATTCAAAAATTCACATTGCATCAGACAATATCGGGTGCTAAATACCGCGGGCAAATTGACTGAGGGTTTTTTCATTAGCAGTGAATTTTCCTTAGAGAATATCAGTGTTGTAAATCCATCCTGTTTTACTCACTCCATCTCTCAGAAATTATCTTTCTCAATCAGACTGTTTTTGCTTTAAAAAAAAAAGTACGCCAGCATTTGGTCATACTAAATAGTATATATTAGTGATGCTACCCTGTGTAGTCATCACTTAAATGAATTTTGTCATCAATTTTCATCTTTATTCTCTTTAATCTTCCAGAAAATCAACAAGTCGTGAATGCCTAGGAAAGGATAAATAAACGCTGAGAATATCTTATCACTAGAGAATGATTTTGACTGTCTTCTTTCGTCTATTGTTCACGAAAGATAATCATCACGATAACTCGATATTCCTCTTTCATTAGGATTCTACTAAGGAATGGACATGTGTTTTTTATATTTGCACTATCATATAAAGATTATGATGCATTGAAGTTGAATCGTTCGGTTTTAATTGAAATTAATGCCATGAAATCCAGAGTGGATCACAAGGCTATGCGCTTAGCCAAAGCTTAGCCATTCTTTTAGTTGGCTTTAAAATAAATTTCGCTCAACAAGTTTTCTTTACGCCCATTTTCCACTAAACATATCTTGAAATGTATTGCGAATAAACATGAAAGAAGTTCTGTGATAAAAGAAACATAAGTAAATGTGTAGTGATGTACTGCTGGATCGTGATCAGGTTGCATCAGGTCTGTTGGATCAAGTTCGATCGTGACTAAGATTAAACATCCAAATTCTTTTCTGTATAAGTAGAGTGTTATCACTGCATAGAATTGTATATGTGCTCATTGTTTAGCAATGTACCCTATAAGCCCTATACTAATGAGCGCTAACAAAGAGTGCTTTATTGACATGAGCTAACAGAGGCGCTAATCGTTGTAATCATAAAATCAATCCTTGAAGGATTGAAATTCTGATTATGAGAGAAGTTCCGCCTTACCTCCAAACCCTACAGATAGCAGGAGAATATTCTTCCTTTCTTCTATTCTTAAGATTGGTGTCTCGGAAATTTGTCGTATAGTGGCATTTTTGGAATTATCTTTTGGAATTAGCTTAGCTTCATGCGTTAATTTGTGTTTTGTAATTCTTAATAATTATGCTATTAATATTGTTCCCTGTACTTAATGATTTAATTATCCTAGTTTGAAGAGGAAATAAAGAAAATCTTACAACTTCGGTGTTGCGTTGCGCAAAATACTTCTAAGAATACAAAATTTCCCACTTTAAAATGTTCATTTACACTGTCTTTTCTAACATTTACAGGCAACAACTTATTGCATCCATAATCCGTAATGATTCCATCCAAAAAGCTTAGCGAAAAAGTTTGAGCTATCCATTATTAGTACCATTCTGTTGTGAAAAATAAAATTGATGATTGTGACGGATAGTTCCAACTTTTTTAACTAAACTTTTTCTTTTTTATTTTGAATTCGTACAGATTTCTTTATTGATCGCTTTCATGTCGCACTGAGTTATTCCATTATCTCTTTTCAGCTTCTGTAAATTTTTTTAAGAACTAATCTAGCGTAAAGCAACACTTGCAATTTTTCAAAAAATAATAGATTCTATAATTTTGGATCTTCCTATTATTATCTCAATAATCTTGTTGTTTCAGCAAAAATAAAAGGGAGCATCAAACGAAAAAGAATCTTTAAGCTGTCATAATCGGAATTTCAAAATCTGTCTGTAAATACGGAAAGAAAGGTACCAAATGTCGTCAATCGATACGATCAAATATTATAATCTAACTACGATCAAAACATGTCCGCACTTCCCAGTGTTTCTGCTCCTTACAACTCTCAATTTTTCCACTCGATTTAATTCGATTTAATTTCTAGGTTGATGCAACAGTAATTACGCTTTCAGGCCATAGATTTCAAATCGTTCGAATCAAACATTCCTCTAACATGTTGAATTCTTGCTTAGGAATTCGACAAACTCTTGTGAAGCATTTTTTATACCGACTAATTATGGAATTATTGTCACCAAATGAATGAGACATGAAACAAAATTTTTTAACTCACTCATTCAACTTTTGATACATTGGTTATTCAAAATGTGGTCAGACAATCTCGTGGAGGAAAACTGAACTTATTTTCTATTGATTGGTGATGATGTTTCAAAGCATTACGGCCTTCGTGTTGCATTAATTTACTACATATTCATCAGATGTCAGATAAGTTCTCATAGCAGCAGACCATCAAATAATAATCATGACCCTTTTTTTGCTGCTTTGGAACTTCTTCCAACTGCTGAAATGCTGATCACCAATTGTCACTTGCAGTCTTCTTTTCCTTACAGTAAAAGTTGATCAAAAGAAATTCTAAACTTCATCCGAATTTTTTCGTTTGTCGATCAAATCAAATCATTTTCATTTATCGATCAAATCAAATCATTTTCTTTTATCGATAAAATCAAATCATATTTGTTTATCGATCATTCACCAATTTGTCGACGTCCAGTTATCAAATAACTTTTCGTATAAAATGACCATTTTTACTGATTGCTTTCAGTTGTTATTGTCAAATTCTGACAAACATGCTTGTATAAGCTTGTTCTTCGTCTTCAAAGCTCTCATCTAATTTGCAAAACTTTTTGAATCGCATTTTTTGGCAACTTCTGCAACCAAATGTAATATATTAGTGTTTGCAAGTCTCTTTCTCTGCTTTTAATGGCCCGTTCTAAATCCAAATTAAAAGGCCTACTCGAATATGCTTTTTGCCAAATAATTTCAATTAATCTGAAATAAATGCAAAGTGAACAAAAAGAAAGAAATGCTCATTGAAATGTTGCATAATAGAGCGATATTTATTCAAGAATATTTTCCAGTATGAAGCAACTAAGTTCACAGTGTAAGAGTTTATCTCCATAAAAAGTTTTGCAATTTGAAATTCATTCAGATATTCTTCCCAAAACCAAAAATTTCATGTTCATTTTATCCAAATGATACTAAGCATTTTGCATCAAAATTAAAACCGATATTTTACTTATATGGTGTGACCGATCGATCGACATCTTCAATCATTATAGATACAGATGTTTCTAATTACAGTATTGAAGCGGTAAGTTTTTACTGTTTCCGGATGAAATTACGGATGCTTTCTTTTGCAGGGAAGAGTTCCAGTAAAATCGAAAAAGGATAATGCTTTACATTATTACATGGTATTCGTTATTTGAAGAAATTCAACAAAATTTTTTTTTCGATCGATAATGGATAATCGAAGAAAGATATTGCAATCTATACTGTTAACCTATTTCAATTTCTAGTCCATTGTTCTTTGTTGGCTACCATCTGGACATTAGATATCATAGTTCTTTCTCATCTAATCATTAAAACGATTCATTCTGATGATTCGATGTTTTAAAGATAAAATCTTTTGTGAAAGATACTTGGAAATATTGCTGAAAACTTTTTTCATAATTTTTTTCTTTATTTTGCCAATTAAGCTATCAAATGTTCACATATATTCCATTTGATATTTGCTCCAAACATGAATTAATAACCAGAATAACTATAGAAAACATATGATACTCTCTGATTCTATTTCTTAGTTGGAGAATATAATTTAATTAATTACGAATCAAAGATTTTTTTTTTCTTTCTCTTTAAGAACGATAAATATGAAGTAGAATTATTGCTCATTATTTAACGCATAATTTTTCAGTACTGACCCATTCAGTTTTAAGTAATAGTTTTAATGGAATCACTACATACTTTGATCAATGGATAGTTTATTTCATTGTTCAATGGTTCAGTATCTATTGAATAAAATATACCGCAATGATAGTTCAATTTGATTGAAGTCATTTCATTTTCTCGTTGGAATAATTGTCACACTATTGCTCATTGTGTGATGTGATCTGTAATAATTTCATTCCTCTGTCACACGCATATATATATATATATATATATATATATATATATATATATATATATATATATATATATATATATATATATATAT